GGCAATGAACTGGTTCAGGAGAGGCTCGAACAGGAGAAAAACTGGAAATGAAATCTCAGGAGAAGAGTGGAAGAAACACTTCCGGAACCTCCTGGAGAGGGAGGATCTGGAACTGGTAGCAGAAACCCAACGAGAAAACGAAAGGGAGCCAGGGGAACCTAGCGAGCGAGGCAAGGAAAATGAGACAGAAAACGCGATAGAGGAAGTGGAGAACGAGCTTGATAAGGAGCTAACGGACTGTGAAATCCTGAGTGCAATAAAGAGACTAAAAAACGGTAAAGCGGCTGGAGGCGACGGAGTGACGGCAGAGTTCTGGAAGAACCTGCCTGGTGAAGGAAAAGACGAAATGAAGGAGATCCTGAAGAGGCTCTGGAGGAACGAGAGAATGATAGGGAGGTGGAGGCTAGCAACAATTTACCCAATACACAAGAGAGGAGAAACTAACTTAGCGTCTAACTACAGAGGGGTATCGCTACTAGATATAGGCTATAAAGTACTAGCGGGTGTGATGGCGAGAAGATTAAGTAATTGGCTCGAGACGGAAGGGAAAATGCTGGAGGCACAGGCAGGATTCAGGAGGAATAGAGGCACCATGGAGCAAGTATTCGTGCTGAATTCACTAATTGGGAGACAGCTAAAGAAGAAGGGAGGAAAGTTGTACGTGGCGTTCATCGACTTCAAAGCAGCATTTGATAAGGTGGACAGAGAGAAACTGGGGGAAAAACTGAAAAAAATGGGGATCGACGGAAAGTTCCTAAGAATGACGCAGGAAATCTACAGAGAGACGAAAAACAGGGTAATAGCAGGCAAGGGGCTGACGGAGGAGTTCAGGACAGGAAAAGGAGTGAGGCAGGGATGCCCACTGAGTCCACTACTGTTCAATATTTTTATCCAAGACGTGGTGGAGGCTCTGGAAAGAAAGAGGGAAGGAGGAACGGCTATTGGAGCAGGGGCGGGAGTAAAGGTATATACACTATTGTACGCAGATGATGCGGCGCTGATCGCGGAACAAGGAGAGGAGCTAAGGAAAATGGTAATAACTCTCGAAAAGTGGGCAGATAAAAATGAAATGGAGGTGAGCATAGAGAAGACCAAAGTAATGGTGTTCAGGAATGGAGGCAAGAGGAAAGCGGAAAACTGGAGCTATAAAGGGGAAAGACTAGAAGTAGTGAACGATTTCAAATATTTAGGCTTTTGGTTCTCGACAGGAAACAGGTTCACCAAGCACACGGCGAAGCTGGCAGGGAAGTCACAACTACTAGTTAACAAAGCGTGGGGAGAATTGCACAGGAGCAAGATAAGGAATTTAAGGAGAAGGCTCTACTTTATGGGTACCACGGTAAAGGCGGCAGCCCTGTACGGAGTAGAACTATGGGGTTGGAGAAGGCAGGAGAACATAGAGAAGGTACAGAAAAAATACATAAAGGCGAGCATGGGGCTAACGAGAAACACTCCAGACTATATCTGGAGGATGGAGGCAGGAGCAAGAAGTGTCGAAGTGGAGGCAGTCAGGAGAGCTGCAAAGTTCCTGTTGAACATCAACAAAATGAAGGAGGAGAGGTGCCCGAGAAAATGCCTAAGAGAAGAGCTGAGAGGTATAAAGAACGGGCAACCGACAAGATGGGGAATGATGGTGAAGGAGAGGCTAAGCGAGGCTGGGGATGGAGAGCTGGTGGAAAGGCTGTGGAAAGGGGAAAATGTGGAAGCGGAGCGAAGAATAGGAGAAATAGTGCAGATACTAGAGGAACAGGAGATACAGAAGGACTGGGGAAAAATCGAAAAATCAAGGTATTGCAACTACTACCAGAGCATAAAACACAGCGCTGAAATGGAGGAATACTGGCAGGATAGAAGGCTCACTACCGAACAGAAAACAATATGGGCGAGATGGAGATGCGGCAATGCTTTGAGAGGAAACAGAAGAGGCACTATGAAGGACGAATGCAGAGCCTGTGGAAGGGAGAGAGAAGTGTTTGAACACGTGATCAGCTGCAAAGTACTGGCAGAGAGGCTAGAGCAGAGCGAAGTACAGTGGTGGAGACATTGGAGGCGCCAGAGCAGTAGGAGGTACTGGAGAGAGAGGCTCATCCAAGTGCTCGGGGAGGCCCCGAGGAGGAAATGGTGCAAGAGACTGGGAAAAATAGAAGGAAAACTGAGAGAAATGGCGGAGGAAAGGAAGGGGCGAAGGGAGACACAAGAATAGAGACAGGGAAGGCAACGGCGACAGTGTGATTACCAAATGAAAAGCAGCCGAAGTAAAGTTTTAGTAGGAATAAATTAAAAAATACCATGTAAATACAACAATTAGACTGAGCTAGTGAACCGAATAACTATGTATGTTTGTTACGTTATATAGTTATAAATCATATAACCTTTAAGGTGTATGCGGAGTTTTTGAGGTGAAGGCAGGAGGAGATGTGAAACAAAGCAAAACCATTTGTAACATCAAAGTCAATAATAAATAATAAATAATAATAAATTCTATTCTATTCTATACTTAGAAGATATTAAATAAAAAAAAAAGGGCAATAGAATTCCACTTTTTTACACAATATCCCGAGTGGAAATTTTGGTCAAGTTCTAGTCAAGACTGGATCAGGTCATACTTGATGATTGATCCGGAAGTGACACGGTAACTGGATCAAATTTTGATCAGACATGTAACGCAAGTTTAAATCAAGACTTGATCAAACTTTTCTGATCCGCTTTAACGGTTCCGCATTTGATCAAGTCAAATATATCTAAATCGGATGACTGGAATATCGAAAACAATAATAAATATTAACCATAACTCACTTAAAACAAAAGATAATTAATTTTTTTTATTATATCTGACCGCTCTTAATGAAGCCCGATTGTAATTAGCGATGAAAAAACCCTATTATTTTTGACAATGCTGGGGATCGAACCGAGGAACCTACGATTACTAAACCTACGCCCTAACCACTGGACTACCGCACTATTGTTTTTGAGTAGATTCTTTTTACCTACACAATCTGCAAGGGAGTATTTGATGACTTTGAAATTATTGCATGTATATTCTGAGCGAGAAAACATATTCGGTTCAAATTTTATTTCATTATTAAAAGATAATTATAATAATCATAACACAATGAACAGATGCAAGTTTGATGATTTTTTTAGACTCAAGATAATGCGCTCTTATGTTTGATACTTCACTATATATATTGCCCTTGCTTCCTATACATTTGTGATTCTTTTTTATCGAGCTATTCAATTGAAAATCAAGGGAATTGAATCGGAAGGAGAACAAATTGTGTTGAGGCAGCTTGATCTGAGAGTGAGATCATGTTTATCTGACTTGCTGAGTCAAAACTTGGTCAGGACTTCATCAAGTGTCATCTGATCAGGCATGTTTGACCAGAACTTGATGTACAGCCACTTGTAGTTTATAGGGTCCAATATACTGGCTCGAAACTTGATCAAGTTTTCATCAAGTGTCATCTGATCAGGCATGTTTGACCAGAACTTGATGTAAAGCCATTTGTAGTTTATAGGGTCCAATATACTGGCTCGAAACTTGATCTAGTTTTCATCAAGTGTCATCTGATCAGGCCTGTCTGATCAGAACTTGATCTAAATTCGCTTGTAGTTTTTAGGATCCGAAACGTTGGATCAAACCTTGGTCAGGTTCTGATCAGATCTTACCTGATCAAGCGAACCGCACTGAAACTGAATCAAGTTCTGATCGGACTTCAAGTAGACCTGAACTAATTTCCACTCGGGATATTCGAGAAAAATTTTCGTTTGATATTCTTGTTGAGAAGAAAATAGAAAGAATTTTAAAAACTTATTCAAAAAATTTATTAAAATAGCAATACAGATACATATTGAAACACTGAATTGTAAATAAAAATGGACTTTCATCAACTTTTTTTATTTAGTATTTTTCATTGAACATTTCAATAGAGAATCGGCAAAAAAGTAACAGATAGTTCAGCAGAAAGAAATCAGTAGTTTTTTCTATTGATTTTTTTTCTTGTGTCACCGCGTTATTCAGGTATTATCGATTATTAAAAAAATTTACTCCTTGCGTAAAATATTAATAAATTATCATCTATGTATGATACACTAATGAAACAATCAGTGGAGAATTAAAGAAACTATTAATAGAGCTTTTAGATGACCAGTCCGGGAATTCACTTTTCTCAATTAAGATTTTTCTGGTCTAAAAAATGCACGGGAATCTAGTTCGAGTCTCAATAGTATTGGTAAAAAAAACTTCACAAATAATACATACCCCTCCCTTTTTACTTTTCCTTCATTTTTTCTAAGTTTAGAATTCCCATCGAGATACGCGGTAGTGTATCGGCCAAGTAAAAGTTTCGTCTCTATCCAACAAATAAGGCCGAGAGCTACGGTGTATCTATACACGACACAACTACCCCTTCCACTACCTCCTAATCGTATTCAATCCATAAAATACAAACGCTGCAAGTTACATGAAATCTGTGCATAGTTCCATTATACAAATCGCCCTCAAGCTTTTCATTGATATAAGTTTTCTCTTTTTTCGATTAATATTGGCAAAAATACTACATAAAATAAGAAAATCAGTAGAGACAGGAGCAACTTACTTGGCGCGGTTTTATTTACAGGATAATGCTAAAATGCACTTTGATTAATAAGTAAAAGTGACTGAAGATAATCTTTGGCTCTAGCTCTAGTTCTTGGGAAAAACCGCGCCAAGTAAGTTGGTCCTGTCTCTACTGATTTTTTAATTTTCATTATTGAATCCTTTCTATCGACTCGTATCACTTTTCTTGGCATTTTCATTTACATTTTATGAGTTTTTTTAAATATCTTGGAATGCCATATTTTGGCAAAACACGAGTTTTTCACGAAATCAATTGTGAGAAACTTTTACTTGGCTGAGTTTTTTTTACAAAAACACCAGTTTTTATCATTTCGTTTATAATACTACCAACTAAGCTAATATGAAATGCAAATTCTGATGAATTAATTTTTTTTTGTTTCAGAGTCATGATGTGCAAAAGTGAATACATATGCGAAATATTTTATACCACAATGTGGAAAAAATGTATAATTAATGAGAAGTGGTGCGAACGAATAAATCGTTGAAAATTAATGCAAATATTATCTATCATTAATCAGAAAATTAAAAAAAAATAATATTAGTAAAGATTCAAATAACTAATACAAATTTATTAAAAAAACTGTATAGTTTCATGTTTCATTATAATTAATGTTTTTTTGCTTCATCCAAATGATGAAGATCATATAGTAGGAACTATTAATGACTGTTCCAAAGAAGATTCAAGAATTACGAAATCTTAAGTTTTGGTTACTTTTACTGAAAATTCATATTTATTTACACGCATATTTGATTCAGAAATAAGACAATTGAAGAAATAACTCACAGAAACCCCAGAATATGGCTTGTATTGGTACATCAAATATTTTAATGTCATCTCTCTTCGACTCTACAAGAAACACCTTCAATCTTCGAACATTTACAGTCGTCTTGGACGCAAAGACCTTTGAAAGTAACGAACTCTCTTGTGTTTAAGGTATCAGAAACAGTTTCAACAAAACGCACTTTATCTCATAAGTTATCATTACGAAATAAGAGAAGCTCGACTATTTCTAATACAATTGTTGAGGATTCAATGCACCTAATACCCAAAAACTTGTCTCGGCTGCAACGTCTAGTAGACACTGCTGAAAATTCTTTCAGGAATGCATCATCACTTTACAGTAGAAGTTTTACGAACTTGATAGCTCTAAATTAACTACTGCAGAAATGTGCAGATTTAAGTAAAACCGTATCTGTTTAAACACTTTCCTTTTTGGAAATCGGATTTTTCCCTTAATAACTGTCAAAAATAATGAAAAGCCCACTCATCACGATTCTGAGTATATAAATATTTTGAATAATTGCTCAAATTATTTTAATGTTCTTGACTTTCCAAGTAGAAAGAGGTGAACTCCTGCATTCTAGGAAAGGATAATTATTGTGTATATAAGATGATTTTGAACCCAAAGCAAAAATCTATACGTAAAATGAATACTACTTCGGAGGATAATCTGGAAACAATTTCAGCAGAGAGAATTTGACATGATCAACAGCGCGGTATGAATGCCGATGCCTTGTCTGATGCAACAACATCTACGATGAATCTGAATGGAATTAAAGAACATTATGGGGATAGAATGCCAAGAATTCGTCAACGTTGCAATGCCAAACATTTTCAATGCAAAATTGTTCACTATTCTTATTTCTATTGGATGATGTCAAGAGAGTGCATCGGAAATAAATTTATAATTGAAATTGAAATCCTCTCAAAATCTTATAAAAATTCAATCTATTTTTCTTGCGAATTTACTTCATTTTTCATTAAATTTTTTCATGCGGGCCATTCTTCGATAGGATTGCGGAAAGGGATTTTGGAGTTGTAAGAGATTCATAACCCGAGCCAAAGGCAAGCGATATAATCCTACGAGCTATTACTTCTAATATTCAGAGCTATTATAAAAATCGTCTGCTTTGATTCGCTAGGCCTTCATACAAAGCATTTACTTTTTTTTGTAATTAATTTCGGTGTCAACAGTTTGTTTTGACACGTGACCGTCCACATGAAAAGGATGTGGTTAAATTTCTGACATTTTGAGCGCATGAACTCTCAAAGTGGGAAATTCGCGAAGCTATAAAGGTGTAAGGTTGTAAACTTGTAGAACAATGTTTTGAGAAAATTGAAGTTAAAATTAGCCAATGGATTTGTTGGAATTCTACTTGGAAATAAAAAGGTATTTTAATTTAAATTGATGCTGGGTATCATGATACATTAAACCGAATACTTACTTTTTGATATTCTGAATAAGACTTTTTTTCAATAACAAAAGTAGATACTTCCAATAAGGATTTACTTTCAAAAATTAAATTGTAAGAGCTTCTAACTGAATCATTGAATCATTTCATAGGTACATATAGTTGTAAGTAAGGTAGTATTTAATAAGGACAAATATATCAAGCGGAACTGAAGAAGTTATCAATTTATTGTCATCGCAAATAAAAAGTGAGTATCGAACCATTTGACTGTAATATATGAACGAAAATCATTTTTTTGTCCCTTATGCGTGGAAATAGTTCAACTTCCGTTCCTTCTTGCCGGCAGAAAAGTTGCACTTTATTTCCGAGAAATCATTGATTGAGTTTTCCAATTGTTTTTCACGTCACTCATTTATTCCGGAACCCAAACGCGATTGAGACTGCCGTGTCGGTTTTTCATCAACGTGTAATATTAAGTGAAAAAAATCTCCGTGAATTGGCAGCTTGTGGAATTCGCGGTTAGAAAATTATTAAAATGAAATCTGACAGAGAAGACAGCCAATCAGAAGATGACAGTTCCTCAGATGCGTCGGATAGTGACATCACTGAGTTCGATCTTGAGGGTGCAGCTGCACAAGTTACGGCGAATTTGGTACCCGATATGTATGCCAATAAATATCAGACATGTTATCAAGATCGCATGGAATAGAGAAGTGCGATAAGAATGGAATCTTTCAAAGAGGAGGTTTTTCTAGTTTATTTTAATGAAATATCCGAGAAATATAAACCCTCAACGCTATGGAGGCGTTGGTCGATGTTGAAAACAGTCATAAATCTTCATCGCAGCATTGCTCGGTTTATATTCGAAATTGAAAAAGTTTGTCAAAAAGAAAATTCCGATCAAAAAAATCACATGTTTTCACAGGCTCTGAAATTACTTGACTTTTAGTGACCAGATGATGCATATTTGGCAGCTAAGGTAAACACTAAAAAAATCATAAAACATCTAATTAACGATAACCTTCCGTTATTTCTCAATCTTTTCAATTTGCCGCAAGAAATGAAATATTTATTTTACAGGTAATCTTGATTTTCGGAATTTGGGAAGCGATGCGATCAGGTGAAATTTGTCCCCTGACTATGAATGACATCGAAGACACTGGCTCCAGATTAAATGTGACAATACGCGACACGAAAAGTTATTATCCTCGTTTATTTGGCATTGAAAGTCTATATTACATGAAAGTTAAGACGTGCATGAACCTCAGACCAACCTACCCAGAAACCAATCGATTTTTTTTGCGAGTTCAAGGAGGAAAATGCGTACGTCAAGTTATTGGTAAAAATAAAATAATTGAGATACCCAAACTGATCGCATTATTTTTGAATCTGCCAGTTCTGATCAAGTTACACGTGGATATGTCGAGGAATCGATCCAGAATAAAAATCGCCTTCTTAAAAAAATCAACAACTTCGTTGACGCATCATCAACGTTTCGTTCCAATATCACAGAGCCGGCACGTGCTAGTAAACTTTCAATGCTGATAAGTGATGATAAGGAGATTTTCAATCACATTGGATTTGATCTGACAAGTGTCCATGACACTTATTATTAATCTGTATCTGACATGACCAAAAAAGCACATCAGGCAATAATCCTGTTGAAAACCATTGAAGCTCACCAGGTTGCAACTGCAAACACACAAGCATCACCCAAAAAAGCTCCAACTAATGAATATGGTGGCCAAGATGGGGAATAGCCGCAAATTAAAAAGAAGAGAAATGGAACAGAAAATGCATATAATGCAGGGGATCTATTCGGGAATTGACAGGAGAAGGTTTTATTAAAATATACCGATTCACAAAAGAGGGTAATTCAAGTGATATGATAGCGTCATTGATTTAAAGGTAAGGCCAAGTTTTCTAAAAAATAATTAAAAACACGCAGTTTAGCTGGCTACCATGATGGCGGAGATTTTTCTTTGTAAACTTGGCAGATCCCTCCTAGTTGACGTAGCAACCTTCACCCCCCCTCTGGACCAACCATCCCCTGCCAATCGAGTCACCTTCCGACAACCCCTCATTCCCCCCCCCCCCCCCCCCCCCCCCCATAACAATTTTTCCTGTCTCTGTCGCTAAAAATATAAAATTTGAGCACCATGTGCACATGGTCAGCTTCGCCTACTTTTTCAGAAAATTAAAGGAATAAACGGTTAAAGTTATTCTAAGAAAGGTGAAATGTGCCGAAATTCAGCTCGGTTAGTCGAGTCGTTTTTCATAAATTGCCATTTCGTTCTGAATCTTTCTGCCCAAATATCTCGACAACTATCAAACCAATTTTAATTTTCCACCTCTCAAAATATTCGCCTCGATGCACTCGACCTCAATCAGTCAAACTATGGATACCCATTCTCGCCAAATTTTCCAAATATTCCAATTTTTCTTTAAAAAAAAAAAAAAATTAGCACGGTAACCTTGCGAAACTTTCGTTAACTTGAAATGTAGCATTGCATTTTCTCTTGGTAAATAAAATGCTTGGTATTGAACAATGGTTGAATCGACTCATTAGTTCATTTCATATTTCAGTTTGCATCACAATCGATTTCCTTGAATATTTCGAAAACTATCGAAACTTTTTTAGTGTTTCACCTCTCGGAATTTTCGTCTGGATATACTCCATTTCAATTGATGAAAATATGTATATGCATCCATACTCATTTTTCGAGATATTTCAATTTTTCCGATTTTATTTTTTATTTGTTGGAACAGTAATGTTGCGAAAAATTAATTCATCAACTTGAAATTTGACATGACGTTTCTGTTTGTCAATTAAATGTTTGGTATTAAAGAAGGGCTGAATTAGATGATTGGTTCATGAGATATTTCTATTCCTGTTTTTTTCGAAAAAATTTTGTGAGCCCGCTAGAAATTGACGCATTAACTTGAAATTCAAGTTGCAGTTTCCTCTGGGCAGCGGAATATTTGAGATTGTAGAACGGTTAAATCGGATCATTAATTCATGAAATATTCAACATTGCTTAAAATTGGCTTTCTAAAATACCTCGACGACTATCCAACCGATTTCAATTTTTCACATCTCCAAATATTCTGCTTGTTTTATATTCTTTTTGTATAACTATTCTTATGTATCCCAGGTTTTAACATATTTAAGGCTAACAGCATTTAATTGAAACTAAAAATCACGTTCGATAGCTAGTCTATACCGACCTTAAGGGTGAAAATAAGATATTTTTTTCTCCAAGATTTTCATTTGGGATTTGAGGGTTTTTTTGAACTATTGATTTAGTACATTCATGGATAACGTATGTGATGGCTATTGTTATTTACTATGGTTGTATTCTGAGGGAAATTACATGAAGTATATTCGCCGAGATTTTTAGTCAATTCCTAATAATTATTATTGGCTTTCTTCGGTATTTGTATTTTTTCACCTTCATTCTAAGAAATATTGAATTTAGTTTCGATATTATCTTTAAAACTTATATTTAGCTCTGATTGATGTGGAATATATTTAGGATCCTCATTAATTCCGTTTTCACGTTTGGAATTGGAAGAGTTCGTGGTTTAATCTTTATGAATTTTGATAGTGCCTTGAAACTTTTGACACTGATATTCGCATTGCTATTAACCGTGCAATTTATAACTCTTCTTGCAATTAACTTCTGTTAAGTCATTCGTCTTATACCATAGTATTGAGCACAAACGAATAAATAATAATAATAATAAGAAAGATATAAATATTATGAAGTTCAATAGAAATCACGAAAGTGCTGATATTCTGGAACCGAGAAGTGTGCACAAGGGATCTTTTCATATGAACAAATACGTCCTTTAAATATAATGTATTGAATGAAATACTGACCTGGCCAAGATCACCTCCCATCTGCATAGAAATAATACGAAGATGATCTTCTTCATTACACCAAACAAGAAAAGTTTTGGCATCATTGTGATAAATACCACGACCAGTAGGCCAGAAACGGCACGCATTGGCTGCTTGGAGGAAGCGATCGCCTTCTTTGAACAAGAAGTGATCATCAATAAGTTTCTGCTGAACTTCTTTGCTCATTCCTGTGAGTGGGTAAAAGGTACCCTTGAGTTCATTTTCCAGACCAGAAAGAGTGCTAGAGACTTTATCTTCCATTTCCTTATATTGGGCCTCAGTCAAGCAGGGATTGAAGGGGTAGCCATCTAGAGAGCGGCCGCATCTTACACGAGTTGATACAATATACTCGCCCTGTAATTCAATCGTCCAAATGAATATAATTATAATCAGTCTACAAGTTTAAAAGAATTTCAATGAGTGAAAATATTCATGAAATATTAGTTGATATTATCGTTAAGGGTGTACTACGCCCATATATAGCCAAAACTAACCTTTTTTTGACTTTTCTGGGAAACTTACTATGGCATTGACGTGAAAAAATATAATGTTTTTGTGTTCTGTCATTATTTAATGACTCACAAAGTTTCAAACCATTGCTTTCTAAACCTTAAAAAAAAATTACAAAACTGTAGAGAAAATGCATGAAAATGACTGCGCCACCACAAAACTTCGTGAGCCATTAAATGATGACAAAGCGCAAAAATCTTATATTTTTTTTTACGTGAATCCCATCAACAATTTGCAAAAAAATTTTAAAAATGCAAATTTTGGTTATGTCTAGATGTGGAACATTCTTAAATGATTAACGAGACCTTGCTGATAAAATTAAACGTGAAATTCTGATAAATTATTTCAATTAATTAAATATGGGGCATTCTACGAAAAAAAGAACACGAACGAAATTTTTTAATTCGGATTTCGCTGAGTTTTTTGTGGATAATAGTAGGCAATGAGAGAAGTATTTATATTTAACAAAAAAATTTTACTCTAACTATCCTCGAAATACTGAGCAAGTAAAGTTGTTTTTATTTTGAAATTTCAATTTTTAACTACATTCTTATTGAAAAAATATTGCAAAAATATTGATCATTTCTAAAGCGCTAATTTTCAATTTTAAAGCAAAAATTACATAATTTCGGTGGATCACAGACTTTCATCTATTTTTTAAAGAATTCTCGAAAAAAATCAAATTTTTTCCATGAATTTTGACATTTTTTTAATCATGGGCAACCAATTCCGTTTATATTTTATTGCAGCTTTAATATTTTCGTCGTATTTTCTTCTATTCTGCAACATCGACACTTGATTTTTGATAGGACAATATGTAATTAATGGTTCCTCTCAATTTTCTAATAATCATATTTCGAATTTTGCGCTAGAAAGATGTAGTAAAAAATTAAAATTTCAAAAGAAAAAGAAATTCATCTGGTCAATTTTTCGAGAAGTTAGGAATTTAATAAAAAAAAAATTAAATTCGGATTCCCAAAACGGTTAGGGTGAACAATTTGAAAAAATTCATGAATACTTCTCTCCATTACCTACTATTATCCGTAAAAAAATCAGCAAAATCGAAATTCCAAAATTTAATCCGCGTTTGTTGTTCTTTCCCATACAGAAAACCATAATTACAGCAATTACAGAATAATGATAATTCACTATTTTACATGCATGATTTCGGTTCCAGTCACATGAAGCCCATGAAGAAAGTAGACCCAAAACTAGTAACCGCCAGAGATGAATTGATTCATTGTTTAAGTTGATAAATGTTTCAGCAATGTTTTCAATAAAAATGGAATTATGCAATAGATGTCTAAGACAAGGGTAATTTTTTTTAACTTTCTAAACGTCATCCCAAACCGATTCTTGCACTGCAATTGATTCATAGAATCATGGAATCTTCTAATGTCGACGTTACTTAAAATTATCGCGCAACAGTCTGTAAAAAGTGTATATGCTGTAAAATGGCCCAGATTAAAGCACAATATTTTGACAGTACATAGTATCACATTGATTGCATTGTCTATGGATGGCAAGATTTAACGATATATTTTCCATTGTGACTATTTTTAATTATGTAAATTTATGAACCTTTTGTAATTATTCTGTATTGTTCCCTAAGTTGCCCAAATTCCAAAAATTTCTATCCGAAATTCAAAACGGATAATCTCAAATAGAAGGTAATCTTTTAGCATCTACTTTTTTCAATTTTTCGTTAAAAAAATTTGAACAAAAATCTGTTGAGTAAATATTTTACACACTAACAACCTTAATATTTGTGGATCATTGACATTTTACGACTCTGAGGCCCTGCCTAAGTAGTAATTAATTGTAACTATTATGAAAAAAGGTGAAGAGTTGAAAAATTTCTTTCATTCAGAATAATGTAAAAAAGACAAACAACCAAAAATTTCAGATGCATTGATAACTGCATAGTGGGATTTAAAGAAGTTTTATACCCTTTCCGCTGAAGTTCATGTTTTTGAAATTTTTATGGCAAACTTACGATGAGATTAACGTGAAAAAATATAACGTAAAGTGATTTTAAAGTGATGCAAACGTTTTCCTATTTTTTTTTAAGCTGTTAAAAAGAATGACGAAATTATAGAACAAATGCTTTAAAATGATGGCACCACCACGAAACTTCATGAGCCATTAGAGAATAACAAAACGCAAAATCATTATATTCATTTTCACGTTAATCTTATCGATGATTTTTCAGAAAAAGAAAACAAAAGGTGAATAGTCGCTAAAAGTGTCGAATATCCTTAAGTACTGAGGTGTATTCTGTAAATACGTTCGGATGTAAAATTTACGCTATAGATAAATTGAATAATTTTTTCATTTTCATATTGCCAAAAAGTTCTGTCATGTACATCATGTACCCCATTGCAATTTCCACTGCTTCAAAAATGTCTCGTTGGTTCTTCACTACCTTATATATGCTTTTTTCAGATTTCTGGCAAACTGTTAGCCAGGTTGACGCACAAAAAAATACCATGTATGGGTTTTATAATGCTTTAATGACTTACCATATTTTATTACTGTGCAACTATGTATCTATGCTTTGTCTTAAGTTTTTTGAAAATTAATGAATGCTTAGAAAAAATGTAGTAACAAAATCACATGATTATGAACAATATGAAAAGTAGTGAGAGAAGAGCAATCTATTCTTTAACTTTGAATTCATTCATTTTAGACAGCTTAAGACTATATGCTAGATATTTCTGCGATTATAATAATGATTTCAATTTGAAGATGAATATTCAATTAATAAAAATTCATGTGATTCGTCTCGAATGAATTTAATAGATATTGAAATGAAAATGAAATAGAGAAATTTGAATGGTAAGCAAACATATTCTTAAATAGCTTTTTATAAATAGACAGTAACTTACAGTTGGATCAAGGTTGCCAAGCGTATCTACATCACCAAAGTCCTTGGGTGGATGCTTATCAGTCTTTTTAAATCCACCGTGATACTCCTCGATCATAGGATCGAAAATATCAGCGAAAACGTTGTAAGCCTCAGCATCTGGAGCGTAGATACCAAATCCAGAGTCAAGATTCTCTACCCCTGATTGAATGCAGTCCAGAAGAGTGGATCCAAATGATGTTTTCTTTGTTTTGAGAGCATCGAAAATCTCCTTAGAAAGATGTTTCTTCAGCAGAGACTTACTGTCAGATGCAGCGAGCTTAGCATAACCTGCTTCAAGTTTGTCCAGCACTGCTTGGTCAACCATTGTATTCTTTTTACTGCAATGACAGGGTACACGTAATTGATACATTTCTTTCAGACTTCTCAGTAATCTCGTAATTGTATTAACCATCCAATTCATTCAATTGTTAATTATCCATATCATAAAGTCAACATGAGAACAATTGAACATGAAAACTCATCCTAATGAATTGAATTTAATTTCATCTTGTTTATTGACGACGATGGAAAAATTTCTACTATTATGATTTTGTTTATTATTGACCTAATCCATTAATTCAAAGATTTATGATTTTTTCTCAGTCACTGTATAATTTATTGCATAGATATGTTGCGTGGCATTGAGTGGAGTTCAGATTCCCTGTGACGTGGTCATTTTTTTTCTTTCTTCTAAATAATAACAAGTAATTGGAAAAGAAAATGAACGAATAAATCAATTCTTTCGCCAGCCATGGAATTAATTCAATGACTTCTATTTTCTATATATTCATATGCTCATGATATTCGATTATCAAAAGTGGAATATATATCAGATAACAATTTTTGGTAGCTGTGCACGAACGATAAAAAATGAAACCAATTGAGAGTACCAGCGTATTGTCTAACGCAAATACCATCTTGACGCACATATGCTGAACTCAATTTCCGGAAGGAAGTGCGTGATTTGGATCCCGATCATCGTAATCCTACACGTTTAAACGATTGTATGACACGTAAGTTGAATCACAATGAGTTTAATGAATGAAATAAAACTAGGAAAACCGCCCTGAACCACCGCTATACTCGTTTGAAAACTTTAAACTTGATATTTGGCCGTTTCTTCTACTACTGTTAATCATGCTAACACTTACGTTAGATTGCACAGTCTAGAATGAGGGCATCCATTCGTAACATGAATTAACCGGCGCGTCAGAAGAATCATCTTGCCACCGGCCTGATCATCGCCGAAAAAAAAGAGCGTCTACTGTTTAGCCCGGGTATTACCCCGCAAATTCAATTATGAAAAATTACATAAAAGTTTTTGAGATTGTGACAGATTTTTTTTTGGGAAATTATAAAATTTTCTGGAATATCGACTCGAGAAACACAACTTTCCAAATATTTTTGACGAGATATGTGGAATTCCGACTTATTTTGACAGGTTCTAATAAACCAGACATACTCTGACAATTTTTCTGCTTTAAAATTGATCAAAATCTATCAGAAATCAACATAATATCTTAAAAGTTGATAAGAATGATCTTCTTATCAACTTTTACGATATTATGTTGATTTCTGATAGATTTTAGAAGAATGACCTTTTTCTGACTGGAAAAACCATTAATCGTTCAGTTATCCTCAGTCGAAGATAAATTTTTCTCTCTTTACTTCTATGATATCAATGTAATGTATGCATCTTTAACCTAGAAAAAGAATGATATGCCTTTTAATCAAATTGAACAATCGAACGATAGAACTAAAAATATAATTTCTCAGTAATGTAATAATGATGAAAGGAGATTCCATTCTTCGGAATTCGTGACTTAAATAGGGTGTCAGCACAACATCCTACACGCCTAGCAGTGATCACACATCTATAAAATATTTTTTTTTAATCGTAATAAATTTTTAATTACGAACGACACATACTCATCGCTCGATGCGGTATCCTTAGAGGTGCATCCACCCATCGTTGCTATTATTTTCACCAATTGGAATGAAATACAGACAAACTATTGAAATCCTCTCAATTTATTCACAAAGCTAAATTGAATGGAATAGAGTGAAGATGCAGTATTAAAAAAAAAAAATTCGATTTCCGTTGTTGCAATTGCGAGAGAATTGAATTCCCTCAAATAACCATGACAACCTGTGATGACATTCATGCATACATTGATTGGTAGTAAAATTTGAACATTCTATCTATATCTCGAGTAAAATTGCAAGGGGTGTGTCTTCACTGACATAATCCACAGCACTTCTCACTTCCTCCAAACTCAAAATTGTCACTTTATACTAAAATTCCCGCAGTTTTTCATAAAAATGCTTCAAAATAAAGGATCAATACTTGTTACCATTCATTAATAATTGTTAATACTCAGAAACAGATTCAGATCCCTAAAAGTTAAGAAAATAGATGTTTCCTTGTTTTGAAATATTTTCACTGAATAATTATTCAATCTCAATAATAGATATTTAACCTAATATGAACATGAGTTTTGTGTCTATATATCAATTTTCCAGCCGGAATAAATGAAAGGAAAATTCCTCTACGTTATTGTTGAGTGTTTTTGATGAGTGATGTGAACACTACAGTCTCTACGCTATCACTAAGCAGGAGTAGTAGGGATTCGTTGGGAGAATCTGCGTGAATGCGTTCGGGGGTATATATACTATATACGTCTCCTCGTTACAGCTCTCGAGCTCTCTGTCGCCCACAATGAATCGTCTGCTCATGCTGAGTGTATAGTCCTTTTTCCCGCGAAACGTTTGTTAGTACAACCGCCCCTTTCACCCTTTCTTTCGCTTTATTTATTTTTCTCACTCGCTCCTCTCTTATGCTCAATACATTTTTCCCTCTTATACATTCATCCCCCCCTTCGACTATTAAACGTCGGGGTGGGGCTCGTCTACGTGGCGTACGCCTCTCACCTCTCACCTCTCGCCGCTCGCCGTTGTAGTACGCAGGGCTAGAGGCATAGAGGAGAATTTGTCACACGGTCGATATTACGCACAAAGCCCGCGGAATTCACGCTTGCTCATAAGTCTACGCGTGCGCACAAAATATTTTGTTTTGTTAGACCGCAATTACTTGCATATAATAATTTTTTGAATTTCCCACTCTTTCCCATAATTTGCCATTCGAAAACTTTCCGATTTTCAAAAGTTTTTCTATAATTTCAATAATTTAATGTTTTTTTTTTAACTTAACCTTAGACATAATATAAATGTAAAATGTTGGATTTGTAGTTCCCTAATTCGTTAGAAAAACCTCACTTCAGGGTGTTGCCAACCTCGAAACATGCATCTCACAAATCTTTTCGCATAAATGATCGAGATCACAGAAAATGAGAATGTCGATAATGCAAACGATTATATCTTTATTGATATTTAGTGAATAGACAAAAAGTCGCATAAATAAAAAGAGCGATAGACATTTTATGTAATGAAAGAGTTAGGGTGAATAATACGGGCTCCTGCCTCCCCACCCAGAGGGTCATGATGGGTGTAGTCGCCAGTTGTGTATTCTAGAAGTTTGTGGAAAATTCAATCTCCATAAATACCAAGATAGGTATCCAGAATCATCCAATTCCCGGCCATCAAAGACATTTGATATTAAAATCAAAAAATTGTCAGTATACAATTATAATTCTGGAGCATGCTGGACGTGGCTGGCAGAGAATCCTAATAATACCAACTATTAAATTTAAAGGGAAAATGAGACCGCATAGTTTACAGCAACCAATGAACAATCGTGTGCTTTGTTACATATTAAATGATATTTTCATTTCAATTGAAAATTTTCATGAAGGAATAGTGATGTGGGTGATTGCTTCATAAATAAATGCCTGGCAGGTCTTGGCCTGGCGAGTGAAAGAGTGAGACGTGCGATTTTCCTAATGGCCGATAAACTCGTGCGCAATCCAATATGAAATAGTAATTTATGCTGCAGGGCTGAGAAGTATTTTGGGAACGTATTTTAGCAACATCCACGTCGAGGACGCGTATTATGATCAATTAGGTTAATAAAAACCTTTTCAAAACGTGTGGCATATCCCAGGAGAGCAAATCCAAGCTTGAACATCTTGAGCTTGGATCAGCCTAAGATACCTAGCTTGAACCAACCTTGATTCGATGGAACTACCACGATTCAACCAAGCTTGCTGATATTATGTAGATACAAGCTTGTATACCAACGTCTTTTCGATCACGATCCCGGTTTGGTATTCTAAAGTTGGACCCCGTAGCTTCGACCAACAGATAAACAGATAAAGACAGATAAAAAGTAACTTATGTCAAAGGATGATGTAAATAAAGTAAATAGTTAGTGATGTTAGGTACATTAAATAAATAGAACGTTACTCAACAGCATTATTTCTATAAAGTTCATATGCAGAATTAAAAGTCAGGTCATAAGTGCGCGTTAGTTTACCGGTAAAGCGTAGGTTTCGTAATGTGAATGTCATGTGTTCGGATCTCGGTTGCAGTGGTCAATTTTTAAGTTAATTAATTAGGTTTTTCACCGATCAATTCATCGGAGGTAGGTAAATGGGGTTAAAATTGACTTGTATCAGTAACAACAAAGTAATTTATTTTCTTTTTCTCACTATTTCGAGCAATAATTTCTCGATAAGTGGAATGATTGGTTAACAATTGTGTCCCTGACTTGGATCGAGCTCGACATTCAAGCTTGGATCAACATTGGTTCTAGCTCGACCGAGGCCTGGACTAGCTCGGTTGTAGCTTGGTATCCAAGCTTCAATTGAGTTTGACGTCCGATCTTGGATCAACCTAGAACAGCGTTACAAACCTTTGTACAAGCTTGGATTCCAAGCTTGAACCTAGCTAAGCTAGTCTTGGTCAAAGCTTAGGCCGAGTTTCAACCAATGGTTAATTCCCACCTGGGTTTTAGGGGTATGATTATTCGCAGAGAACATAAACTAAAACTTTTGATATGAAGAGATGGAAAGGCTGAATGCAGAATAGGTTCACCCATAGTTAAAGTTAAATCCAGCGCCCTCACCACTGGTATCTCATCTGCGTTTAAAAATGGGACCCTCCATATGTTTACGAGAACAACAGGTTAGGTTCCCTATTCACTTAGGTAGTAGGGGAAATCACTTCCCGGACGTGGAAGCAAAGTGGTGGCGTAAGACGTAACGTTTACTACGGGTTAACCACGGTTAACTGATTGAAAAACTGGCCTTGAACCGCCACAGCATGATGATTATATATAAGCACTCATCATTGTATCTCGAAATGTATAAAATTCGCTAAATATACTATCTACCAATGACGATGGCACTGAGCCAGACGAACATGAGGTTCGAGTCCGGCTCAGTGCCATTACAGGCGGAGAATTGGCGAACCGGATATCGGGAGCTTGTACAGTACTAATGTACTGTGTAACAGTACTGATATCCAAGATTCAATTCAGGGCGCGTTCCACCTCTGGATGAGATCTGGCGTGAGTTCGGGTGCAGCGTTTACCCAGACTTGTCTGCTAAAGCTTGGCCCGCTAAGACTGGCCCAGGTATGCTGGTTGTCACCAGTTGTTAAAGTCTGGCTCTCTCCCCTAGGTACGGTAAATGTCGGAGACATTAAAACGACGACGACGGGAAGAAAGTGCAATGAACAAACCAATCACTATTCGAAATTTTCCATTTGAGTTTTCCATATAAAAATGAATAGATATATGAGAAAACATATGAGAAGTTGGTAAAGAAAAAACTGGAAAATTGATATTTTTGAACTAGGAAAAATACAGCACGAAAAATATTCATCTTTCTCATTGGAAAATGCACATTTTTGCGCGGTGACTGCCATAACAATACCCACACTCTGACCCAAGCATTGTGGTCTTGCTCTTCTGACTACCTGCGCAATACAATGTAGTATGTAGTCATTGGCCTAATTGGGGTTGGGAGCTAGGTGCGCACCGAGAGCGCACTTTGCCCACGCTTGCTCTACACTTATAAGAATTGACCATCGGCCCTGGCCTGGTCCAAACCTGGGCCAGGCCTAGGCATCGTTGGGACAGGCCTGGTATCCACGACCAAGCCTCGGCCCACAGTTCAACCAATACTCGATTCCAATCAATGCTGTATGCTTAATGCATCTTCGAATTTATTATTATGTTTCTCGTCGTTTCTGATCTTCGATACGTTAAATGATGATCCAAATAATCGTTTGAAAGATTAAAAAAATATAATTTAAGAAAAAAAATGACTTCACTGTGGCTTGAACCCGCAACCATTGAATTCAATAATTTTTAATAAAAATCGCTGGCCTGGTCCCATCGCCCCAACAGCGAATACCTGTACCTGAGACATGCCCTTAGGCCAATTCGCTAAATATGGTTACCTTATATTTATAGATTGGATCGCGTTATATATCACTTCTTCCATTTCCGTCTAGTTGTAATTCCGACTGTTCTATTTTATCATTTTACTTACTTTCCCTCCTACTATCACGTATGACAATTGTTATTCGTATTAAAATAATGAGTTTAGTATACCACTCCTGGGAATGGATTGGCACATGGTGAGTTGCGAGTCCTCATTTTTAAACAATAGCCCACTTTACTCTTGGATACAAGGGCATCTAGGCTGGGCAATCCAAAACTATCATGCCAGTCCTGAGTCTGGATTGGACCGACCCTGGTACAGCAGGACTGCCATGTTACCCTTGGACATACATTGGTTCTACCAGTGACCCAAACCAGATACAATCTTGGTACGCGAAAGCTTGGCAAACCAAGACTGTTCCAAGTTTGGCCCAGTAGTCAAGCTTGGCATTCCCTATCTGGGATAGAGTCCAAGGAGCACGTTTGTTTGCAATTTGTGTAAAATGTGACAGCACCAGGCGCTTGAAAGAAGACGTTATCCCATAAGCATTCTTAAAAAACCGTTATATTGATCTATGCATAACATTTTTTGACTGCTTAAACATATGAGGGAAGGGTGAGGTCCCGGAAGACGGAAAAGACCTACTTTTTGAAACTTATACTTCTAAAATTGACGTTCTATGTTTTTTTCCACTTTTGAGACCTGCCTGAGGCGCGGCTGGGCCTAGGTGGTTTTAGCCTCTTGATCCTCAGCCTGAGTCAGAGTTGAAATGAGCATCTTGAATAGTCTTATAAACTACCGTTAAATCAGGGCTTCGAAAGCGATGAAATCAGGCTTGGTTCAGGTCTGCGTCACTCAGCCTTAGTGAGCTAAGGCTTTCCCAACCCTGCTTTCATCGTCAGCCTGTGCAATTCTTACCTGAGTCAAACTCGAAATGTCATCTCCAGTTCAAATTCTAATTCAGTAAAAATATATTTTAACTCGATTAACACCTCGATTTATTCAAGTCTCTAAATAAACTTTCCTGATATGCCTTGTACTGTTCTACATTTTTTTAACAAATATATGCAAAGAGAGGTGTAAAGTAGTTTAGCCTTCAGAGTCGCGATCACCATCAAATATCCCGGACATCGCAGGTGGTAGAGTTATATAAAACATTTACAGCCAATTCTAAATCAGCAAAAAAAAATCTCAACAGCCCAGAAATATACTGTTTATCTACGGAGGAACTAGATGATGATCCAAGACCACCAGAAAATCATGAAAATTAAAAAAATTGATT